CACGGCGCAAAACGCACGCGCGTGTGGGTACGTTTGGTTATCGATCTCTGCTCTCTCTCTATCTGTCTCTCTCTCTCTCCCCCTCTTCTCTCTCTACCCCCACCCTCTCTCTCTCTCTCTCTCTCTCTCTCTCTCTCTCTCTCCCTCTCTTGGCCCAGATCGTGAACCAACTCAATTTCTCCACCGCCTCCCGGGGGGACGTGTCCGCCGTCTTTACGTCCGCGCCTCGAGGCTATGGGGATCCTGTGGATCCCCCCTCCGCGCGCCCGCGCCCGCCGTCAGTGGCCTCGGGGGAGCGTCAATCTCTGGCGCGTTGTCTTCCGTCCAGCAACCACCTCTCTCCCCCCTCAGCCACGGCGAATCAAAGGACGCCGCTCGCATCCCTTTCCTTTTCTTTCGGTGTACTCTGGAGAATCCGACACTTTGGTCGGACAGGCCTGTCCTCGGCGGACCGCCGCCCTGCTGGGACAGCGTCGGACAAGGGCTTGCTGGCGGCGCCGGTAAATCTTCATCAAGGCGCTAGAGAGAGAGAGCCGTAGAGCGGGGAGAGGTGAGATGGAGGCGCAAAAGAGGAAGAGGAGGAGGGGAGAAAGGAGAAGGTTTTACGTGTGTGAGAGAGAAAGAGCAAAATGCGCAGATGGGCTGCTAGACCATCCCTCTGTGAATGGGACGGGAGGGACACCCCGGGACGCGCCCGGCCTGTTAGTCCTGATCAAAGACCTTGTGGAAGGAGCGCAGGAGCTGGTCGGTCGTCGTGATTGGGGTGGATTCCTTGGTCCTGCCGCTATTGGGCTGCGGCCCTGCGGGGCTGAACAGGAGGCCGCCCGCCCAGTGCCGCGGGCTTCAGGACCGGCCGTCGCCGGGCCCCGGGCGGGGCCGATCGTATCGTGCTGCCAGAAGCCATACGGAGCTGCGGCCCGGCCCCAACCACCACTGGCCGACATTCTAAGGCCCTTAGTGGGTTCCACCCGCCCGGTCCCTGGGCTCCCCCCGTCCTTTCTCTGTGCCCCTACTTTATATTTTTTTTCATCTTTCGATTCCGATTTGATGTCCTTCGTTGTTGGTTTTTTTCATTATTCGGCGGTTGTCGCTTTGGTGCGTCGGGCTGTAGGCCCGAGCCCAGCCCGAGACCATTATTCATTTGGGGCCGCTTGATTGATGGGAATTGACGGGGTGGACGGACGGGACGTTGGAAACCGGCCGCGCCACCCCCGCCACGCCACGCCACGCCACGCCATGCCACGCCATGCCACGCCACGTCCCGCCTCGGCGACACGACGCGCACCGCGTATAGCTGTCAGTCCTCTCCGAGCGGAGAGTTATTGTGACGCTCTTGGAGAGCGATTCGTACTGGTAACGTCGCGCGTCGCGCTACGTTGCGTTATTTCTTTTATTTCCGCCCTCCCTTCTGCTCCACTCACCTCCGACGAGCGTTCATCCCCCTTCCTCTCCGGAAGAGCACACACAGAGCACACGTAGCAGCGCAGACGCTGCGGGGGGGCCCAGAGCTGAGCCCGCCCGGTCCCAGCCCAATATGTGCACCTGTCACAACGGGGCGGCCTCAGCCGGGGCGTCAGCCGGGGCGTCAGCAAGCCGTCACAGCAGCACCACGTCTCCCAACCGGCTGCGTCCCGGACATTGACAGCGCGCGGGCGTGATCGTGGAGGAAGACCCCTCTGCCTCCGCTTCCCTCCTCCGCCGGAGCCAGCGGCGGTGGCAGCGGCCTTTCGTCCCGCGAAAAACAGCATAACGGCTGTGACGTTACGGCTACGGTTAACCGAACCCTTCTGTTTCTCGGCCCTCGCCCCCCTCGCAGACCGCGGCAGGCCTCTGGCCGGGCGGACGAGCGGGCGGTTTTATGGGACGAATAGGGGAAAGGGTGGCCTTCGTGGTGCGCGCGGTGGAGGCTGCTGCGGACGGCTATGGCCTGGCAGCGGAACTCATGTCCCAGAGGGGAATTTTCCATTACGATTTTGGAGCCACGCCTCGCTCACCCCCCTCGCCTCTTCGTCCCTTGCGTCGTGTCGGCGCGTGGTGGTCTCGCCCGTGTGGAGTTAGTGGTGGTGGTGGTGGTGGTGGTGGTGGACGGTAATGCCGCATCCATTTCTGCAATCTGGATCTCCTCGATGAGGCTGGCGCTGACGCGAGCAGAGGACGCGCAGAGTTGTGCGGCCGTTAGAGGGGTCTCCCGTTGCGCCCCATTACTTCACCCTCCTCGGGAAGGAGCCCCCCGCCCCCGCGCAGCCCCGCCTCTCCATCAGAGCCCCCCTAGGCCCATCGGCATCGGCAGGCATCGCATCGCCGCCAGCAGGTGTATCGTATGACGGTACTGCGTGGTATGGGGAGGTTTGGGATTCACAGGGGCGGTGGTGGTGGGGGGGTAGTGGCCCCATTTGAGACAGTCCGCCGCGTGGAGAGCCTACGCCGCAAAAGGGATGCCACCATATGCTGTTTTACTAACGTTTTTTTTTCTTGTTTGCTTCAGGAGCAGGCTCACGATGCCAAGCAGGCGGCCGCCTCGCCCGAGGACACGGAGGACCTCTCGCCGCTGCCGGCCCAGGCGGCGCAGCCGGCCCGGCGCAGAGGAGGCATATCAGCCGAGCCGGTCTCGGAGGAGGACGCCACCAGCTACGTCAAGAAGGTGAGCAGCGCCGCCCTTCCCCGGGCACGATCCCCCAAAAAAGGACTTTGTCAAGCTCCCGACCGACCGCGGGGTCGTTCCTGTGGCGAGCCTCAGGATGTGTTTTTGCTCTGGCCCGAGCCGAGGGCCCGAGATCAGCCCTCCTCGAACCTAATTTGAATATAAAACGACTCGGTGGCGCCCTCTGTCGCGGACCCACCCTGTGTCGTCCGGGCGACCCGAACAGCGCAGAGCAGCCCTGTCATGTTCAAGTCAACTTTTAATTATTTTTTTCCGTCCGCCTCACGGAATCCATCAATGTTTAATGCCGCCCGGAGCGACGCTGAGGCTGCTCTGCATCGTCGCCCCTCTCGTTGTGTAGTCAGTCAGCCGAACCCAAACGTACTGACGGGCCCCGTTTATCGACAGGTGGTGCCCAAGGACTACAAGACCATGGCCGCCCTGAGCAAGGCCATCGCCAAGAACGTGCTCTTCTCGCACTTGGACGAGAACGAGCGCTCCGACATTTTCGACGCCATGTTCCCCGTCAACTTCCTGCCGGGCGAGGGCATCATCCAGCAGCACGACGAGGGTGACAACTTCTACGTCATCGACCAGGGGGAGGTCGAGGTAAGCGCCTTAGCCAGCGCGGCGGCGCCTGTGGCTGTGTGGGTGTGTCAGAGAGGTAGAGAGACGGCGCTCTCATGATGTGCTGCTGTCCGTCCCGCTCAGGTGTACGTCAACAACGAGATGGTGACAACGATCGGCGAGGGTGGCAGCTTCGGTGAGCTGGCGCTCATCTACGGCACGCCCCGCGCCGCCACCGTCCGCGCCAAGACGGACACCAAGTTGTGGGGCATCGACCGGGACTCGTACCGCCGCATCCTCATGGGCTCCACCATCCGGAAGCGCAAGATGTACGAAGAGTTCCTGTCCCGGGTCTCCATCCTCGGTGAGTGCTCAGTCAGTGCTCGACACGGACGTGTCTGCCGCTCCCGGCTCCACGCGTCCTAACTGTCTCTGTTCTTCCTCCCGCAGAGAGCCTGGACAAGTGGGAGCGCCTGACGGTGGCGGACGCGCTAGAGCCCGTCTCGTTCTCCGACAAGGAGACCATCGTCCGGCAGGGCGAGCCCGGCGACGACTTCTACATCATCGTGGAGGGCACGGCCATGGTGCTACAGTACCGCGCCGAGGGCGAGGACCCCGTCGAGGTGGGCCGCCTCGGCCAGTCAGACTACTTCGGTGAGTGTGAGTGCGCGACCGAGCGGGAGCGCCCGCAGCGTGGGCCAGCCCGGCGTGCACGTGCGCACTGCGGGCTGGCCCACCCGGCCGCCCCGCGGGCGCTATGGGCTCGCAGCCGGGCTCGCAGCCCGAGCAGGCTCGCGACGCGACGATGACACATTCCAACCTTTGTTGCAGGTGAAATCGCGCTGCTGCTGGACCGGCCGCGCGCCGCCACCGTCACTGCCAAGGGACCTTTAAAATGCGTTAAACTCGACCGCGCCAGGTGAGGACGGAGGGCGTTGTTGCTGGCGATACGTAGATGTTGTGTACCATTTGTTGTGGGGTGGGCCGTTAGAAAAAAGCTAGATGCTGATTTCTGTTCTGTGATTCCAGGTTCGAGCGCGTTTTGGGACCGTGCGCCGATATTTTGAAGAGGAATATCACCCAGTACAACAGTTTTGTGTCATTGTCTGTGTAGTGTGTTATCGACAAATGCATGAGACGGTCTGTACTTTAAAAAAGACACAATTAATCCATGTCTCCCCCACCCCCTTCCCCCCCTCTGAGATACCTGATAAGTGGCCCTCTTGATGTCGGTGAAAGCTGTAAAAGAACCAAAATTATCATTGGTCAGCTGCTTTTAAGATTGAGACTTTGTCAAAGATGCCCACATAGTGCCACACACTGAAGGACTATCCTAATGACTGACAGTCATTCACTGTTAAACAATTTTAATCTCTTTTAATGTGACACTTGGTAAAACATGGCTGTTTGTTTTACTATGCTGAAATTTGTAACAGCGTATTAACCATCAATATTTTGAGATTTGCTGTATTATTTTTTTTGAAATGTCTTTCCTAAGGAAACAAGCAGAGAGACATTTTGGACTAAAGATCACTAGGCACTTGTTTCTGATGAAAGAAATGACTCATGGTTGTCAGTAGCAATATAAGTGTGACCAAACAGAAACATTGGCAACCAGCCCTTCTATCGTAGCCACCTATTTGGCAAATTCAAGACTGCTTGTAACATGTAAACAGTCATTGCTTCCTAAAGAACACTGGCGATGTGCTTTAGTGACTAACTGTTATAGTCTAAACTAGAGATTGTGTTATGATTGCATTCAGTAGTTATCATTGTGTTTGAATTGATTATTGAGATGCTGTTGACTGAGCGCATAAATTGATCTGATCTTCGAGTGTGTGTTTTCAAGGTTTTAAATTAGTTATGTTTAGAAGCCGGCCAATGTATATGTTTTAGCAAGCTATTTCTTTGTTATTATCTTTTGAATCCTGACTGAAATAAGCCAATATATGTATGAGCCACAATTCAAAATATGTGTTTTTGTAGATTTCTAGCCATACCTCTATTCCATACTCTTCCATGATACATGTAATTTTGGAGAATCATGAGTGTGAAGGAGAATGTTGCTTAACTGCAAGCCATATTTCATCATGTCTACAGTGCATGTGTTATTGTTATGGTTGTATTAATGTTTGAATAAAGGTCGAACAAAAATATTACTATTTTTTTTTTTTCATCTAATTTCACCATCTGTAACATTGTGGAATAAAATTGGTAAAAATAA